TAGTGTTTGGTGGTAGTTACCGTATTTAACCCACTAAAAGTTAGTCACTTTTAGCGGGGGATCTGAGGGCAGCCCGGGTTGCTTGGTGTTTTGAGTGCACTTGGGTTCACCCTTTGGCTATTCATGAGAGCTTCACACGGTGTTAGGAACAGTCCCTGAAGCACAATCTGCAGCTGTGTCAGAGGTGTTTTGAACGCCAAAGGATGTGTAGTTCATAGGCCACACAAATCACTAGATTTCCTCACCAAGACCAAACAGCTTGGATTATGCTTGTTTGTAATACCAGAAAACAGCAGGAGGTATGGTTTGGCCTGCTTGCACCGCGCACGTGTCCTTTTTCGGGTAATCTAGTGCCTCTCTGTTTGGAGGAGGCCTTGCTTGCAAGGGATTGCACGAAGCTAGGGGGAGCCCAAAAAAGCAAGAACAGTCGGGTTAGGTGGCAGGTGGTCAGTTTCCGTTCTCTCTCACCTTGCCAAGCAAGGGAGGTAGGTGGTTGGTGTTCCCATTTGTTTCTAAAACCAGAAAACAACGATGGGGGGGGGGGGTCCAAAAAGGCCCAACCGATTTTGAGGAAGACGAGTGCGTTCCGTGATTTTCCGAGGCCTGGGGACCAAAGCCGGCCGCACTGGGACCGGTCCTTCTGCCTTTGCCGCTTGGCAAAGAAAGAATTTCGCGGTGGGTTGGTGGGTTCGTGGGTTCGTGGGTTCGTGGGTTCGTGGGTTGGTGGGGTTGGGACTGTTGGTTGGTTGGTGGGTTGGTCGGTCGGTCGGTTGGTTGGTAAGTTGGTTGGTTGGTTGGTTATTTGTTGGCTGGTTGGTTGGTTGGTTGGCTGGCTGTCTGGTTGGTTGGTTTGTTGGTTGTTTGCAGGGGGGTCAGTGGGCCGGTCAGTCGGTTGCTTGGGGGTTGGTTGGTTGGTTGGTTGCTGGTGGGTTAGTGGGTTAGTTGGTCGGTTGGTCAGTCGGTTGGTCGGTCGGTCGGTGGGTCGGTTGGTCGGTTGGTCGGTGGGTTGGTGGGTTGGTGAGTCGGTCGGTCGGTTGGTTGGTTGGGACTGCTGGTGGATCGGGTTGGTAGGTGGGTTTTCCTGCAAATAGATTCCACAGCTTCCAAGTCTTTTTCTGCACGGGAGTCTGGCCGGGCGCGAATGGCCAAGTACAGGGTTGTGGTTGATCACAAGGGGTTTATCCAACCACTGTGATTCAAGTTGGAATCTCCTCTTTATATGGGTGGGAAGCCCTTTTTTGTCTCGCAGAAGTGGATTCCATTTCCCAGAACCCTGATAAACTGTATGACCACGTGCGACCAAGCCGGGTTTTGGTCGCTCAAGCCCGGCTCCGGGGAGCCTCGCGGGTTCCAGCCGCGCTGGCGGCTTCGGGTTTGTGTTTTTGCGGCTTCGTTTTGGGCGTGTCTCTGTTTCGTAGGGCTCAACATGGGTTCAAGCACTCCAAGACCACCATGGGATGGTGGTGGTTGGGATTTACATTTTTCCTCATTTTTGAGATCTTATTGTGGTTTAGTGGTTGAAATCCAACCACTTGACTGCACAAATGTAGAAGTTTAGTTCTTTGCTCCCCTTCCAACGTCAACCAAGTTAAAGGGTTCCAATTCTTTCAGCTTTGGGAAGGATTGCACTCGGCTCGGTGTTTGTGGAAGCTTGAGGATATGGCTTGGAAAACCTGGGGCATCGGCAAAAACCGGTTGTTTTGAGATGCTTGAAGACTTTGGGAGGGGTTCTCTTTGCGGTCAAGGAACTGTTTCAAGTTTCAAGTGGGGGCTGGGGTCCTTCAAACTGTTTTCTCTAGCGGCTTTGCTGGGTGCTATTGAAGGGAAGTTGGTCCACCTGAGGTAGAGCCACAATCCGACGGACATCACTCCAGGAACAGTTGTTTGATTTGACCTTTATCCTTGCAACCTTAGGGAAATGAAACAGTCGCCCTGCCAAGCAAGCAAACGGTTTGATATGGCAATGGCAATCTGGAAGTCAAATCATTTGGACATGTTCCAACCAAACACCTGCATGTGGGTAGGTGTTTGCGTTCGAAGCCAATTGGGGCCCGAAACCGTCTCCAAAGCATCCAGCTTTCTCGAACTGAGGCGAGCACACGCCCAATGTGCTGTCGAGCTTTTCCGCCTACTCGCTCTTGCAGCTGGGGCTGAAGTCCAACTGGCACCAACCTAGCGGGATAAAAACATCGCCTTTTCCGACCCGATTTTTTGACCTCCAGGTTTCATTTCGGTTTATGGGCCCGAAAGAACAGATTGGGGGTGGAAAAAACCCGTGGTGCTGCATCTTGTTGGTTGGATGGGGACCGCCCTGTAGCCCGTAGCCTGTGGGTAGAAGGAAGCTTCTGAGGAGCTCCCTCTTTTCCGGCTTGGGAATTTGGGTGAATGGGAGTTTCTCAAAGTCGGATTCTGGGAGAAGCCTTTTGTGGGTCGGCACTTGAAGGGAGCCAATGGAACCCCGAAGTTCAAAGGCAACTGCAGAAATGGAGCTTTTCCTATTTTGAGGAGCATCCAACTTGCCCTGCTACTGGCATCTTCAAGTTTTGCACCAGGCCATCAGCACCGGAGGTCTCCCATTTCGACAACCTCGGACTCAGCACGCTGCTTTTGCTTACCATGGCTTGGGACAACCCCTTCAAAAGCAGGGTCCATGGTTTCACGAGCTCACTTTTCTCGGGCGAGGCTGTACACAAATGACGACTTTACGGGTGGGGAGACCACCTTCTTCGAAGCAGACGAAGCGATGCCCGTGTCCAACAAGAAGCTGACGCCTCAGCCAGGGCCTCAGGCACATTCTTGTCGCGCTTGAGCCGAGAAGGGTAGGGAAGAATGTGTTTGCCAATGTTCATTGATACCAAGTTGACCAGTTGTGCCCTTTTTTCAACTTTTTGTGGGAAGGGTTCCCCGTTAAAAACTCAACCAACCAAAAAAGGATGCCCCTTGTTCCCATGGCCACTGGGCTGAGGATACCAGCGTCATCCCCGTTGAAGTGACAAAGCAGTCACGTGGATGGGAATCCCGCTTTGGCATCACCGATTTCGAGTTGTTTTCCATCGCGGCGAGAGTTTGTTCTGGCTGGCGCTGGTTGGCTGGTTGTTTGGGGGGTCCCTATTTTGAGACAGAAAGCCTTTGAAGCACATCATGGTTGCCTTTTCCTTAAAGGAAACCATTTTCTACGCCTATTGTTTTCGAGAACACATGATTGTGTTGGAGGGTCCCCAGTGGAGACACCTCTTTTCTACGTGCCGTGCCATATGGCCCCACATATAGGGTTGGTTGTGTCAAATGGCGCGACCCCCCCCAAAAAAAAACGTGGTTTCCCTTCATAAACCAACCTTAAAAGAAGCTCCAAAAAGGACACGCCCAGATGTCCCCCCCACCTCCCCCCTTCAAACCCTGGTCCCCACCTCCACCCGCTGGTCCCCACCTCCCCCCCTCAACCCCTGGTCCCCGCCTCACCCCTCCCCCCTTGGTCTTATATATTCTGGCTGAGTTTCGATTCCTTGGAGACCCAGGTGCGACCGCAGTTCGCTGCGCGTCTCCGCCTCTGTGGTCCCCCAGCGCGGCGACGCCCTGGTCTTCCCACACGGGCTACACCCGGGCGGCCGCTTCGGCTCGCTCGTGTTGCCGAAACGTGTTGGGCGTTTCGCCCGAATGGGCGGTTTGGATTTGGGTTCAGAAGCCCTGTTTGCTTTTTGGGCTTGGGGTTTGTTCGGTTTTCGTCAGGGCCTTGGTTGGGTCCTCAATGGCCTTGGGGTAAAAAAAACAAAGGACACCCGTTGTCCTTTTTTTTTGAGCACCAAAGGAAGGGAGAAAAGCCCCCCATGTCTCAAGAGTGGTACCCTTTGGGATGGTTTAAACGGGCACGACCAAAGGACAGCGGCCCATTTTTGAGGGTCCCTGTCTTGAAGAAAAAACAAAAACAGGTTTGGCTTTGGTGGGTTCAGACGCCTCGACTCAGGCAACAACGACGTGTGTTTCTGGCAGGTCCCTTTTCAAGATCCCAACTGTGGCACGCGAGGCAGCGAACTCTGATGTTTGCATTCAACTGGTTGCTTTTCGTTTCGACGTCCCATCCAAAAACTAGGCCTGCTTGTCTATATACACAAATGTGGGTTGATATTATATATATATATACATATGTTTACGGGGTTTGAATAGGAATCCTGAATGGCTGCGAAGGCATGTTTCTTGGGTTCCCGCTTGGCCCGGCCGAACGCCGGCTGGCTCCGAGCCAAGGCTACCCAAGCCCCCTGCACGAAGGCTCCGAGGCGCTGAGTCGCGGGCGAAGAACCCTTTTGTGGGTGTCTTGTTTTGGTTTTTGTTCGAGGGGACGCCTTTCTTTTGGTGGTTTTCAAGGGAAACCGAAAGGAAACACTGCAACTTTTTTTAGGGGAAGGGCCCTAAAGAAAGACAGAACTCATTGGGAAAGAGCATCCCAACCTTACTCCTTCCCAGCGTGCCCAGTAAATGTGACTAGGGGTTAATGTCAGAAGCTGGGGTTATTTTCCTTGAACCCATGTAGGTGACACGGTAAGATATGTGTGATTTGTAATCAGCTGGACTTTTTGGACGTCATTCAGGTGGCGGTTCATGTCCACCAACCGCTTTTGCGGTGGTTGCCCATTAGAGTTGATAGCCACCGGCTAGGCGAAAGTCTACTGGAAGTTTGCCAGTTGTTTTTTGGGGGATGAATTCGGAACGTGGAATCGGCAACGGGCTCTTTTGAGTTTCGGACGTGTGTGTGTGTGTGTTGTGTGTAGTTTGCGAGCGGTTGATCGATGGGCAGCCTGGCTTCCCGCGGTGTCCCGGTCATTTCCAGGACTCTGGCTTCTCAGCTCAAGCGTACAGCTTTCGGGTTATTCATGTTCCATTGCCACAACTCGACTCCAGTCATTTGGCTGAACCTAGCTGGCTGAACCCCCACGTTTTTCATGCTTTGCAGCTTTTCCAAAGTGGTTTTCTCAGATTGACGACGAGTGACAGGTGACAGGACCACCCTTTTAGGCTGCCGCAAGGCGCTGCAAAGCCATGGTCCCGCCGCGGAAGCTGTTCCTCTTGATCTTGAACTTCCTCAGCCTTGTACTCTTCTCCGGCACCGTCTTCGGCTGGACGGCGCTGTCTCAGAGCCTTGGTAATCAAGGGGAATCGAAGACATCTTGGCGTCAAAACCTATAGAATCCCGTGGGTGTCCCCCCACGGAATTACACAGAAAGCCATATATATATATACAATATTAATATATGTATATACACTAATTAATTCCAATGATTAGCAGATTGCAGATTATGCTGTGTACGGATTAGATTGTCGGGTTACGGGTTAAGATCATCACCAACCAGGACAAGGATTAAGCGGATTACGGATTGTGATTAGGACCCCAAGGATATCGAACAGGGTATATATATATATATATATATTTATGGATGTGCAGTGCATACTCTCACCAATCAACATGGAACCTGAGAGGGGGTCCCTTAAAAATGAACTTGATTTTTCAGCACACCCCCTGATCCCCAATGATTAAGAAACTACGAATTATGCAGTACACGGATTAGATTGTGCGATTTGCGGAGTACGGATTGTGGTATGCATAGTTTGTTTGTGTTCCAACATGCGGTGTTGACCCTCGGATTACGGATTTTGATCATTCTCAACCATAACAAGGATTAAGCGGATTGCGGATTGCGAGTAGGGCTCCGTGGATGTTGATTAGGCTGCGTAAATCAATAATGATCACCTGTTTCGATATGTATACTATATATACATATGGCACTCCCCTAATGTTGACACAAACTCCAAGAAGCACAAAAAGGCGGAAAACACTGGACAATACAGGTCAAACACCCCAAACCAGGGTCCATGGGAGGGGGGTACCATATATATGTATATATATATATATATACGCATATCATATACACATATATACATATTATTATTATACATACATACATACATGCATGCATGCATGCATACATACATACATACATACATATATATGATTATGCAGGGGTGCACGGACCAAGGATCCTGGTGGAAGAGAACTTCTACGACTGGCTCTGCGACACAGCACCCTGCGATGCCCAGACTGCCGCGCTGGATGCGGCCTTTACGTTGGCGAGCACGGCCTATGGCTCCTCACTTGAGTCACAATCAAAACCCTTTGGTAAGTGATCCGGGTACTAAGGGACAATCCCCTTCCCATAAATTGGTGCGGATATCCGCCTCAGTTCTTGAAGCATGGTTCTGGGTCGACCGCTTTAATACCGGGTTTTGATTCAGCCTCACTTGCCAAGGCGAAACGGCCGGAGCTGACCTTTTGGTTTTTCTCCGTCTTGGCAACGGTTCGTTCGGGTGCGTTAACTTTGTTTAGGAGCAGCCTGCAAAAATTGCAAAACATGGCGGGTTGTCCTTTTGGTTTCCCTTTGAAATCAACCAAACAGAGGGTACCCTGAAAAGAAGACAGACCCAGTTTTCGTCAACCCAAAAGGTGATGTCACTCACCTTCCGGGTCCTTGACGGGTCAACTGAGGCATATCCGCCCTGCCAGGGGGTCTTCTGCTGGACAAAGCCGGCCCCCTGGTGACCATCATCGTGGGGGGTGCCATTGGCGTGCTGAGTGTCGCCGGCATCGCGTGCCTGAGGTTTACCTTTCACACCTACCACGTGGATCTGTTCCCGGTTTTCTTGGTGGGAGTGGCGGTGGGAGGATCCCTGATTCGCTTCTGTGGCTATTCTGTCGGCTTCCTCTTCCCCTCCCACTCGGCCTTGCTCATTGCTACTGCCAGCGTGCTGTTTGATGGAAGTTGTTTGGTGTTCCCGCTCCTGCGTGCCATCTTCAGTAGCTTGGACAATCCTGTTTGGCCCACGCACCTTTTTGCAACGCTTTTCACCGTCAGACACATATCGATTATTCATCGCTGTATTTGGACAGAGGTTTTGGGCCAGTAAGTTAAAGACCTCCACGTGTGGGTCCCAGTAGTTTTAGCAAGCCGCGGCCTTTTTTGTGGCGTCTATAGGCTTACCTGAGCTCTTTTCAGCTGAGGTGCTGGGGTGGGATATGAGGCCCTGTTCGGCAGCTACGCCGGCTTCGGGCTCGTTCTTTTCATACTACTCCCCATAGCCTGGAAGATGAACATGCCGGAGATGCATGGTTGTTGTTGGGAAACATTTTTCATTTTGATCTTATTGTGGTTTAGTGGTGGAAATCCAACCACTTAACTGCTAAAAAACATGTTTTGCTCCCCTTCCAACGTCAACCAAGGATGGAGCGCGTGCGTGCGGAAGCGAAGGCCAGACAACAGGCAGGGGGGTCCATTGAGACGAAGACCATCCTTCAGCAGATGAAAAGCTTAGAGTTCTTGACGATCTTCTTGTTCAGCACCGTGCAGCTCACGCATTCAAACCTGTACATCGGTTCTGTCAATGATGCTCAGTTACGTTCAGTGGCACCCTTTTTTCTTTTTCCCCTTTTTTTGGTGGCTGCCCCAGTAATAAAAATGGCCTTCCCAGAAAAGGGTTCCTTTTTTTTTCAGGGTCACTGAACAACTGAGGATGTGAACGCGGAGATTGCGGAGAAGTCAGGTAGCACTGGGCAGCTTGCGCATGTGAACACCATCGTCTCCTTTGTGATCCCCATGGGCTTTGTGGCTGTCCCCGCCATCACGGCCTCTATCCGACGCTTCGGCAACGTGGGGACGCTGCAGATCACCAACGTCCTGGGGATACTGGTGAACCTGTTGCTCAGTTGTTCAGTGGCACCCTTTTTTCTTTTCCCTTTTTTTGGTGCCTGCCCCACTAAAAATGGTCTTTCCAAAAAAAGGCTTCCCTTGTTTTCCAGGGTCACAACTGAGGCTGCAGATGATGCCCAGCCTCTGGCTGCAGGCGATCACCGTGTGCCTCTTTGCCACCTTCCGGGCGTACCTCTTCAGCAACGTGCCGCAGTTCAATGCGCACTACTTCGGCGTCTTGAACATGGGCAGGATCCAAGGCATCTGCTTCCTCTCGGGAGGTCTGCTGAATCTTGACTGCTATTGGGTTGGATCTGTAGACTTTAACTTTTTGGTTGACATCAAGTTGGGTTTTCCACTAAACCCCCCAAAAGGTTATTCACTTTTTGCAGGGGGGTCGTTCCAGCAACCAAGGAATTTGGTCCAGGTGCCCTTGATCAACTACAGCCTGTTGACGCTGAAAGACTTCACTCTGATGCTGGTGATCTGCATCGTGGCGACCCTGATCCCGATGATTGCCTGCGTGGCTCTGCAGGTTCAAGAGAGGCGAAAGCTCAGGGAGAGCCTTCTGAGACCGGCCACACCGGCTCCTCGGATTTCTGGTGGCGCCCGGCATTTTTGGACACTTTGGTCTGCTTGAAGTCGGAAACTCGGGTGGTTTTCCCTCTCGTCCTCATTTCCCCATCTCCTTGACCTCGTCCTCTTTTTGTGTTGAACCTCGTCCGCTCGCATCCGTCCCTTCCTCCGCAATCTCCGCAGAAACAAGCGTCAAAGGAGCAAGCGCTGAAAGACCGCAGGGCCATAGATGTGTTCCTTGCACATGTAAACAAACCGGACATTGAAAAAAAAGAAAAAGGACAACCACCCAAGGAACAACGAAATTAGAACAACAATTGTCCACCCCACCCCGCCAGGTTGCCACCCAACACACCGATTGGACCCCTCACCACCCCCGCCACGGTCCCAAACCTCAAGGAAAACGATTGACCAAACCAAGACCACATAAAACCCACAGAACACCTATAGAAGCCCACACAAAACCCACTCCCCCCAAAAAGCAAAACCCGCAAGAACCTCCACCCACCCACGCACAACCCACTCCTTCAGGGGAAAAACATATATATTGGAAAACTCCACCCAGCTCCAAGCTGACCTCCACACAACAAACACAAAAGCAAAGCCCACTCCCCCCCAAAAAAACCCATAATGCAACAACAGAAAACCCCATAAAACCAAAAGCAAGAACCTCCAACCACCCAACCTCCCAAGCACCCAACCTCCCAGCCCCCCCCCCCGAGGTGCCCAGCGTGAGCTCCCGGCGCCGCAGCGCCTCGCTGGAGTCCATCGCCTCCATGGGCGAGGGCATCCAGCGCTCCGCGTCTCTGGGCGTCCTGGCCTCCGCGATGCACGGCAGCAGCACCTCCCTGCAGGCGGGGGAAGCGAGCGGCGGGGGGGGGGGGCTGGGGGTTGGGGGGGGTGGCTAGGGGTTGGGGGGGGGGTGTGGGTTGGGGGGGTGGCCGGGGGGGGGGGGGGTATCGTGATCTTGGGGGGGGGGACCAGGTTGAGGGCTGGGGGGGGCTGGGGGTTGGGGTGGGTTGGGGGGATTGGGGGTGGGCTTGGGGGGAGGACAGGTCGTAGGTGGTTAGGCGGTGATATCTGTTTTGGGGAGACGAGGAACCGGTAGGTTCTGGGTGATTACACACGCAACTCTGTTTCTGTCCACACGCACACACAAAGATGTCTGCATGTTATCCCGATTTCACTCACAAAGCACAAAGAATAACGCATGGTTTGCACCAACAGTTTGTGCTTTTCTTACCTGGCCTCCCAAAATTGTCTTCAAAGACCACCATAAAAGGGGTACCCTCAAGAAAGACACACTTTTTAGAGCATCCCCCAAAATGGATTTCGGTTTTCTAGATGGTTTCCCTTTTAACCACGACCAACAAAGTGGTACCGACTCCAAAAAGCAGACGCCCAAGCAGACTTTGGTGCATTTTGCCAAGGGATGTTAGGACTTTAAATAATTTGTTGCCAACTCATGGGTTTTCCGTCTTAAACCAAAAACAAGTCAGTCACTAGCAGGGCTTCGCAGATTTCGCCACCAAGTCGACCCAAGCCCAGCCCCAGAAAAGTCGTCAGGTGATGAGCCTCTGCCCCAGCAGCTCGGAGGGCAGCCCGGAGAACCAGAACCACGGTCTGTCCATGGTGGAGGAGACGGGCGGCCGGGCGGCCGTGGCGATTTTGGTCTGGTCTTCGCCAAGACTAAACAAAAACAAGCAGAAAACAACAAGCAAAACTGGTTGCAACAAAAACACCTAAAGCAAAAATCAAAAACAATGAAAAGAACACCTAAGATGGTTGCAGGGTTTTGATATGCTTTTTGAGCATGCCTCCTGCGTAGCGGACACCCTCAAATGGCCGCAGTCGCTTCACTTGATAGACCCATCGACAAACCAGTGGGCCAATCTCAGCTTTTCGACCGTTTGGGATGCTTTAACGGGTTCTCAGTTGTCAAGCATGTTCAACTTTTTTGGCTGGGTCAATAAGCAAACACATTCATTTGCTATGAAGGTCACACGAGGTGCAGTGTAACATGAGCTATGCGTTCCTGGCTCGAACACCCCGTGCATGTTGGCAGGAAGCTGGCCCCAGCTTCCGCAGTGATCGCTTGAGCACAATGTGAAGACTGACACTGCGTGAGTCGGTGGAAGTTCCAGTCTTGGGGCACGCCGTGCACGGCAAGACCCAAAGTAGAGTCCATGCTGCGCTCCTTTTTCGGCAATGCGCAGCCATTGTGCCCTCAAGGCATGTGGAAGTAGCTCACTTGTTTTCGACTTCTGTTCACAAATCAACGACCAGCTTGCAGCACTACGCTGCCAAGTTTCTCCCGTCGCCCCGCTCTTGACGGGCCTTGGGATGCCAATCCCTCAGGCAGCTCGTTTGCTTGGGACGTTTGGGCACCAAGGCGTGCAAAAAAAAGTCCTTTGGCGCGTTTTGGCTTTGAGTGAGGCCACGCGTGGCGAAGTCAGGCCTTTGGTAGCGAGCAGCTTGGAGCCTGGCACAGAGGTAGACAGGATTGCTCCGAAATCATTGACAGGGAAGAACAGGGTTGTGGGAAATGACCACTTCTGCGATACAACAAAAAGGGCTTCCCAAAGACTAACACCCCATATACAGGGGGAGATTCCCTTGTATCACAGAAGTGGGAATATCCCACAACCCTGAGGAAGAACATTTGTCTCTGGGGAAGCGAGACCAAAGAGGGCACGCAAACCTAGTGTCTCATCCAAAAGTTCAACGCGCAAATCATCGGTCTTTGCTATAGCAAACATAGCAACTCACAGGGACTCGCGACTGTGTGGTGTGTTGTGTTGTGTTGCGTTGCGTTGCGTTGTGGTGTGGTGTGGTGTGGTGTGGTGTGGTGTGTGTGCCTCAACCTCCAGGTGTGGGTCTCATGTGTCAAGGGCATTTCCAGGTATGGTGTGTGGAGGTATGGCTGCTGAACAACCACCAATAGAAACTTGGAAGCAGTATGTACCCCCCAGGTGGTGCAACCTACATACCTCCAAAGCTCATTGGAAATGCCCCATGTCTACAAGTCCCTTCCCGCGGCAGGTGCTGACCGGTGAGAAGCTGTTGGTGCGGACAGACATCATGTTCCGCGTGGTGACAAAAGGTCCGGCCGCGTTGACGGCGTGGTTTTCAAACAAAGATGTGGCTGTGGGTCAAAACCGTTTTGGTACCATGTTGGGGTAGGTGCACCACCCATTTTAGAACCTATTTTAGTGGTTGGATTGGGATGTTCACTGGGGGTACGGGCTTTTGACCCATGGCCATGTAGGGGTCTCTGATATACAGTAATTTCACTCCGTGAGTTTCTGGGCTTGAATCTTTGGGAAGACCACGTTAGTGGCAAACAAACAGGTTGTTTCCGTTTTGTTGCCAGTCCACTCAGGAAGTCCGAAAATCGAACGGGATTGCGGGGTACCCTGAAACCAAATGAAGTGTACCCTCCAGTCCCGCGCCAATCAAAGACTGGGAAAATGCTTGCAAGGCTTTTCTGGGGCTCAGGTGACTTCCCAGAGTTTGCGGATGTTCACCCATTGGTGGCTTGGAGTCGGATTCGAAAATTATGGTTCCTGTAGAGGGTAAATAGGAAGCCCTGAATCACCAAAGCACCGATTCGGCTCGAGCCAACCGCCGGGCTCGCAACCACCAAGAGTGATCCTGATTTTGTCCCACTAGGCTCAGGGCACCTTCTTCCTTTGTGACTTTTTCTTGACACCGAAGGGAAAACCGCTCCAATTTTCTTTTCTTTTTTTTTTTTTGGGGGGGGGGCGGGAAGGTTCCCCTTTCACGAAAGACACTTCCACGGTGACCGGTTTTTTTGTGTTTTTTTTTTCTCCGGCTTGGATTTTTGTTGGCGGCTGGCCCCGTCGAATCCGAGGCCGGCGGTGCCCGCGGTGCCCGCGGCGCCCGCGGTGCCTGCGGCGGCGCCATCGCCGGCGCTGGCGGTGCAGTTGGCCCGCGAGGTGCCGAAGGCGCTGCCAAGTCCCGAGTCGGGGGCGGCGGGGAGAGGGTCCTTCAGGCTGCTCAAAAAATATGGCGGTGGTGGTCAAAACCGTTTTGGTACCGATCCCATTTTGGGCGGGTGAACTCACCGCCCATTGTAGGACCGATTTTTGTGGTTGGATTGGGATGTTCACTGGGGGTACGGGATTGTTTTTTGTTTTTCATTTGTTGGTGGCCCTGTTGGTTTTAAAGGGAATCGATTTCACTATCTGGACATTGCCAGGGGTCTTATCCAAATGGAAGTGAGGTTTCTCAAGGATATGGGTGGCTCGTTTCTTTTGCTCTGTTTCGGGGGAACACCACCCAAAATGGCTCCAGTTCTTTGTACGTTCTCCCCCAAACTCCCAACAGAGGGGGGCCGAGCCTCAAAAACGGAGGAGCCGTGCGTGCGTCTCAAGGGATATACCGTTTTGGAGCTTATGGGCCTCCGCTTCTCACGGGTGTTTAGAATAGGACTCGGTCCCCTAAAATGGGAAGGCCTTCCTTTGGTGTCCCTTGAAAAAGGCAGAATGGGGTTGAGAAACTTGGACACGCAGTCGAGGGGCGAGATGCTGTGGGATTTTGGTGTCCCATACATGGGTTTTGATTCTTGATGGGTCTCTGTTTGGCCGAAGTTCGTGCATCACGTGGGTGGAACACATCGGCGCCAGTTGGTAGTTTATCCGCGGTTTCAGCCATGACTGGTGCACAATGTTGTCAGTATGCTTCCATTTGCTGAAATGAATATCTTATTTTATTGTTAACCCTGTTGGTGTTAAAAGAAATCGATTTAACCACCTTTTTTTTCCTTAAAACAAAAAAAACAACAGGGGGCTTAAGCAAATAGAAGCATGGAGGGCATTTGGCCTGATGATCCTCCTTCGATAATTACCTGGAACCGGTTCCGCTTGAAGGGCCTCCCGTTGGCAAGTGCCACAGCTTTGGGCATGGATCAGAAGAACCGATTGGCAAGGAGGTGTTTTTTTTGTTTTTGTTTTTTCCTAGTTCCACTTGCTGGACTTGTTTTTGTGGGGATCCTCGCATCCCTGCCATTTGTTTCCCAAATCTGGGAAAAAGGAGGTTTGTGCTTGTAGCATTTGTTTCCAAATGCATCGGAGGCAAACATCCCGACCGGGGAAATTGCAGGTTCCAAAGTTGTCGCTTTCTGTGCTTTGATCTTTTATGGTTGGTTTTGTCGAGTCCTGTGTTTCTCGCGGGTTTCGAAGATTTGGTTCCAAGCCTTCAGGAGCTTCCTTTGGGTCTGATCTGTTCATATCGGAAACAGGCGTGCCAGTGGTGTCCCTTTTCGTTTGTTCTTTGTGTGGAGGATTCCCCGTATCTTCGTTTGTGATGAAGCTTCAGGAGGATTAAACTGATGAACCATTGCTGTCTCGCGGAGCCGCCCTGTTCCTTGGATACCTGGGATACCCTATGTCCAACAATGGAAGCTAATCTTGGTGGTGCTCAGGAGGGAATGAGAAATGGAATGACCTCCACAACTAGGTCCCCCAGCCCTTTTGCCCTTGGGGGAGGGTTCCCCTACTAGAATAGACAGAGAAAAGAAACGGTACCCCTTTGGAGGACCTAGAACCATCCAATTCATGGTTTCCTTAAGGGAATCCGAATCCAAACCCGGTTCATTCCCTCAGCTTCGCTGCAAGTAGAAGGTGTCCGACTGTGACTGGAGTTCTGCGCCTTGGGCTTCGTGTCCGCTTCGGTTGGAAAGGGCATGCCAAGCCGCATGCCAATGGCGTGTCGGGCAACCCCTCTTTTGGATTGCAAGCGCGGCCAAAGATCAGAGGTGGTTTTATCACTTTAGGGATGCCGTGGTTTTGGTTACGCCCACATCCAGCAAAGCGCTTCTATGCAACTGGAAGGTGTTGGCAAGAAACATAATCTATGGTAGTAAGGGGGTTGGGTGACATTGGGACACTCACCAAAATACAAAGAAATGCGGGGGGGGGGGGTACTCGCCGAGGTCTTGTATTAGCTCGACCGTTCTGATGACTCCAGACCCATGGTTACCGTGGCGAGTCGGCGCTGCTCGTTTTGAGTTTTGGATGGTTGAAGGGAGAAGACTGGAGCAGGATGTACACCTTGTCCTTTTCCTTTTGGCTTCCCTTCAATGCCACACATAAGGGGTACCCTCAACAAAAAGCGACACCCATATTGAGCGCCTGACATGCATTGACCCTGGCACGGAACGAAACCTTTTCAGGCCGCCCCGCCTGAGCCCGAAGGCGCGGTCGGACGAGTCTTCCGACTTGCGAAAGCGGCGGGCGAGGGGATCGGGTTGATGTGTCAAAAACGGAGTTGGACCAGAACCCAAAATGGGCTTCGGACCGGATTCCCAGATGCTTTCCTTTGGTTTGCCTCTAGACTCTGAACCATCCCAGCAGAAGTTCGGCACCCTCGAACAAGAGCAGGCAACCAACCATGTTGCCCGGTGCTTCCCAGTGTACAAGTTTGAAGCCAAATGGAAACCGAAAAGCCCCCCTCGAGGTTGCGACCATTTTTTTTCGGACACACCTGGAGGGCTCATATTGCATCGGAGCGGGCAGTCCACCAATTGTGGTGCCCCAGATGTTTCTCGAGCTGTTGGCTTTTGGGGGGTTCAAATCGACCAACAAACAAATATCCGCAAAGTTGCTCCGAGCCTCAAAATGGCGAAACCGAGGGTAGAAAATGGGTCTTCCGAAGACTCCTGCAAGTGCTTCATGGTCGCTCCGAGTCGTCAACGTGCCGGAAATTGGTGGGAGCTGTGATTGGTCCAGAAGGGCAGGACAGTGCCAAATGCAGTTACCGACCAAATCTCCGGGCGGACCCTGCAAAACAACCGGGAGAATGAACATGTGAGTCACAATCCAAACCCGGACGTTTGGAGGGCAAGGGGCTAGCCCAGCCAGAAATGGGTGTGAATATCCGCCTTTTCAATTGTTTACTTGGTTCTGGGTAGGTCATTTTAATACTGGGTTTTGATGTTACACATTCGTAGCGCAATCAGAGGTTCTTTCCAATTTCCTCGGGCATTGGGGCGAACCCTACAGATCGTCACTTAAAGGCGCTGATGTCGCCGCCTTCGCGCATCTTATGCGGACAATTCGCTCGGTCAACGAGGCAAAGCAATAGCATAGGTGGTCTTAGGGCCCCTTTTGCAATTTGGGAGGAATGTAAATCACCTCTTTAGCCAATTCAAGATTAGTCTCCTTTTGGTGGAGGATGATGTTAAAAGGGGACATATCAAGAATAGGTGTTGCTTACCTTGGTCTATTGTCTAGACGGTTTTGCAACTTTTTCGCAAAGCTCAGTGAAGCGCCGGTTGATTTGCGCCTGGTTGACTTATGCAGCTGATCACTGCCTACCAGGAAAGCTGGCGCAGCTCATAGCGATGATGTGTCCTGCTTGCGGATGTTGCGAACA